TATTAATGATTTTCACTGCTTTGTACTTTAGTCTATGCAAAAATAGTTCAGACATTGGAAAATAGTCAAAAATTTCACGCATCATCGCATGAAAACTGAATTCGAAACCTTAAAGGGTGAATATCTTTCCCTGATTCCCGAGTTAACAGTTTATCCGCCAAAATTCTCACGAGGCCGTAAGTGATGCTCAAGAGCGAGGGAACGCTGAATTTGAATAGGCAAAACTTCAGCTTCCTAGACCCCGTGGTTCCCGAGCTAATAATTTACCCGTAAAAAACTTTCACGGGGCCGTACGTGTTACCCGCGGGTGCGGGGACGCTGAATTTAAATTTGCCGCGTCACCCGCTGGCAGGGAACACTATACCAAAATTTCAGCCGCCTAGCTTTTGTGGTTCCCGAGTTGAAAGTACGGCACAAAATGTGGGACACACATAAAGACAACCCCGTGACAATATGCGTTTTGTAACGTTGTTATGCAGCACAAAACGCTTAACTAGAAATAGAGTTGCAGCACTACCACTTAGAGTTACTTTAGGCTTTAGTTTTAGCGTCAGACCCGGACTTTTGCAACACTGGTACCTGTACCACTGAGGAGGGGAACCGGAGGGGGGAGGGGCGGGGGGGAGGAAGGGCGAAAGGCCTGGAACTGCCTGTGATCAGTTATCGCTGTTCAGGATTTGTGCTTCTAACTACGCCACTGACTGATGTTCTACGTCGGCTTTTTGAGCCGGTCGTGTCACGATTCGAAGGATTTGGAAATGATGAAAATGAGCAGTTTGATCCCCTCCCTTTCCTTATATTTTGCAAAAGGAGCTCCGTTCGCAGTAGATACTACTTCACTGGAAAAAATGACACGGTAACAGGCGTAAAGGAATTGGTGGTTCCCTCTAAAGACACGGTTTTCTATTTATACTTTTATTTTTTGTGTTTTTACTTTCGTGCTAATTTTGTTTTTTAATTTTTCATACTCCAACTTTTTGTTTTTTAACTTTTGTATTTTTTTTATTTACTTTTTCTGTGTGCACTTAAACACTCGCCAAAAAATAAACGACCGTTCGGACGGTTTCCGAAGAGGTAACACACATACATCGAACAGGCGGCAGTGGGTACTAACTGAAAGTATGCAGCTCAGGGTCCATGAGCCTGGCTTAGCTGACCCCGAATTCATTTGAAAGCGTTCCAGTAACATCACTAACATGGGATACTCACACTGATTGCTAATACTCTGGTCTCTATATTTTAAAAATCAGTGATTTATGTAAGTCTGTGTAAGGTTACCTTCAAAAACAGTTCGAAATTTTGCTGAAAAATAAGTTACCTCATAATAGAAAAAATATGAAAATTCCTGAAACAATTGGCTTCATTTGAGCGAATGAGTTTGTGAGTGTTCGTTGCAAATACTCATTTTTCAGATTTTCCAGATTGCTGTGAAGGGAAGAAGCTGTTCATAGGCCTTGTTTTTTTGCCAGTTAGGCTTCAGTACGATTAAAATAAGCCTCATTATTTCTCAAAAAGACGCTTTTCAAGTTGTTTTGAATGTTCTGGATAAGATTTGTGCCTCGCAAATTACGGTTTCCAACCTTAGGATTTTACTTTTTACACGTTTAACGCTTGGATCAGGGAAAATGGATTTTTTTAAAGTATCTGCAGTGCCCTATTACCCCAGTGAAATCATTAAAGTGAGGTACTTAAACTGATAGTCCGAGTGGTAATCTGGAAACAGCTCCAGGCTTCCACCGTACAATTATTTGGCACAGAAAAACAATTCTCATTTCATTT